TTTGTTTTTTGTTTGTTTTGTGTGTGTGAGGAAGATCAGCCCTGAGCTGACATCCATGCTAATCCTCCTCTTTTTGCTGAGGAAGACCGGCTCTGAGCTAACATCTATTGCCAATCCTCCTCCTTCCCCTGCCCCCAAAGCCCCAGCAGATAGTTGTATGTCATAGCTGCACATCCTTCTAGTTGCTGTATGTGGGATGCGGCCTCAGCATGGCCGGAGAAGCAGTGCATGGGTGCGCACCCGGGATCTGAACCCCGGGCCGCCAGCAGCCGAGCGAGCGCACGCACTTAACCGCTAAGCCACGGGGCCGGCCCTGAGCAAAAGAAGAGTAAGTGAATGCAGACGTTTAGGAAGAGAGCTCTACTAACAGTGGGAAGGGGGATTTGGGGATGGGATTTGACAGAGTCCACTGCAGTCATCTAGAGGGGAAGAAGCAACAGGTCTTGGGACTGGATCTGAGGAGCAAAGTACAAGGAGAAGCCAAAAGTGAGGCTGAGTTTTCTGGGTGGAGTGACTGGGGAAATGATAGTGTCTCCACACAAATGGAGATCAGGAAGGGACCTGGCTTTGGAGAAGATAGTGGGCTTAGACTGAGGTGGCAGCTGGACATCCAAGGGGAGGGAGAGAGCAGGTGGCAGGAGGACAGACTATGCAGATGCAAAAGTCAGCTGTAGAAAAGTAAACATCAAAGTGGACAAGAATGAGGAAGGAAAGAGGAGAGAAAAGGGAGTGAGGGGACATAGTGATGGAATGGGGGCAGGAAAGGAGGCAGGGCAGACACAGCAAGGGAAGGAGGCAGAGAAGCCTGGGGTTCCTACCGTGTCAAGGAAAAGGAGGGAAGACTGCCTCCAGAAGGTGCTCCACAGGGCCTTGAGTTCCAGGAAAATAAGAATTTACAGAGGCCACCGGGTTTGACGCATTTAACAAATATCTATGGGGCACCTATGCATGCCAGACCTGGGATGTTGGTTAGAAATGACCCCCATTCAGCAGGCGTCTAGGAGTGACCGTGATGGTGCCAGGCCCTGAGCGTGGAAGAGGGAAACTGAGGCTGGATTCTTCCCCCTGAGGAGCCTGTGTTTACAGAAGCTCCACTCCACAATAAGGAAGGATGAGGGCTGGGGGCAGGGGAGGAGGAAGAAGGAGTGCACGGGAAAATGTGTACAGTTGAGAGCAGACCACTGACTCAAAAATTTTGGCGTTGAAAGAAAAGCAAGAACTAGAAAAAATAACCTGAGGAGACAGAAAAGTCTTGCAACAATCCCCCTACCCCAACCCCCCAAATAGGTGAGACTGGATGTTTCTAGGCAAGAGAAAAGGCGTTGCTGTAGAGGAAAAGCAGAATTTTTCGGGAGAGGTGGGATCATTGTGGAGTAAATAGAAGACTTAGTCTCCATTTCCGAAGAACCCATTCCTGACTAGTTAAGAAACACGGCAAAGCGGTAAAATGATGACAAAGCGTCCGGGTGAGTGGCTCTCTCAGTGTGTGGTTGGAAAATGCGGGTGTCAAAAAAGGCGACCGCTCGGGAGAGGTGGTATCAGCAAAGGCTTCTTGGAGGAGGTGGCATTTAACCTAAGACTTGAAGGATGGGCGGAGGGGAGAGGCCGCGGCCTCCCCAGCTTGGAGCTAACCGGGCATAGCTCTCCTCCGCCGGAAGCCTTCGACCCTCCCACCCGCTTCTGCTCGCGTGCGTGCTCCGGTTCCCAGCACTGACGTCAGCGGGAGCTGACCTCAGCGCGGCGGCGGCGGGGGTGGGCCGTGCCGTGGGCGCGGGGCGGGGCGAGCGCCTGCCCCGCCCCGTCCGCCGGCGATGGCCAATGGGCGGCGCTGCCGGCCCCGGCCCTGGGGCGCTATGAAAGGCGCGACCCGGCGCGGTTGGCGCAGTGTGAGTCGCCGAGCAGCCGAGGTTACGGTGAGGAGGTGGGTACCGCGGCTTCTCACCGCTCCTGGAGCCGACGGCCCCCGTCCGCCGAGCCGCGCACGGCATGAGCCACACCCGCTGTACCGGGAAGAGAACTAACATGCTCCCGGAGATTGCCGCCGCCGTGGGCTTCCTCTCCAGCCTCCTGCGGACCCGGGGCTGCGTGAGCGAGCAGCGGCTTCAGGTTTTCAGCAGGGCTCTCCAGGAGGCACTAACAGGTGAGCACGCGCGGAGGGTCCTGGCGGGCGTCGAACTCTGCCACCGGGGCCCGCTCTTTGCCTGGGCGCCCTTGTTCTCCACCTCGGGTAGGGGTCCCCACGCGAGCAGCTCCGGGACTCGGTTTCCGGCCAGTTCCCCCATTGCCCTGGGTCACGTCTCCGCTCCCCGGCCCGGCACTCAGGTCTCGGTCCGCGGCGGTTCTTAGTGGGACGCGCCCCTCGTCACTGTCGCGGGCGCAGCCTCCTTGTCCTGGAGTGCTATCCCGAGTCCCTGGCTTATGCCCCAGAAGAGGGAGTACCTGCGGGTCTGAGTGCGGGCTCATCTCCCTCACTGGACCCTGAGACCCTCGAGGGACGCTGCGGGAGACAAAACCCGGCCGGCGAGGGGTCCTTGTGGGAGAAGGCGCAGTTGATCCTTCTGAACAACTCGAAGTCGCCGCGGGGCCTTTTCCAGCCGTGGGGGCTGCGCTCTGTCTGGGCCGCTCGTGGAGCCGCTCGAAGATGGAATCCAGGCCCCCTTTGTATTCTCTGTCCCTCTCAGCCATCTGCCACTTATTATGGTACCAAGAGGTCCTTGTAGGTAGTAACTGAGCTCTACAGGCGTGTGTGTTGAGGGGTGGAGGTGCGGCGGGAGACGGGAGGTTGACAAGAGATAAGCAGCCTCGCTGGGGAGAAACCTATCTCCCAGCTGTTTCTAGCGGTCTTGGGCAGCAATAGCCATCTCTGAACGTGTCTGCACATATCTTGCCTTCTGAGGAACAACATATGTTTCATTACAACAACCCGTTTGGACTGCGGTAGCCACTGCTAAGATCTCTAAAATTTGAAGGAGGCAGTGGGAGCCGCTGGGGCACAGGGTGGGAGGTGTGGTAACTTACTGTAGATCTGACAATGACAGTAGCCTTCCTGGCCTTGGAACTTCAGCTCGTAGGTCTCCAGAGGCCCTGCCTAGAGTTGCCGGCCCTGCTCACATCCCTCCTCCTTAAACTGAGGATGTGCCAAAAACAATACATTGGCTACTAGGGACTGCCCCAGAACACTGGGACCGCCATCCCAATACACCCACACACCCCTGTCCTGGAAGGGGGAGGTTCTTTCCAGAGCCCATAAAATTTTCTCTGCTACTGTGGCAGGAGGGTCCTGGAATTCGTGGAAACCACTTTGCTTACTTGCTCTCGGGGTCCTTTCTTCTCTTCCTATCGTTTCATCTCCATCCTCCCTTCTCATAGCATCCATGGCCCAGCTTCTCTAACCAGGGCATCTCCCCCTTGTCCTGTCTCCACAGAGCACTACAAACACCATTGGTTTCCTGAAAAGCCGGCCAAGGGCTCTGGCTACCGCTGCATCCGCATCAACCACAAGATGGACCCCATCATCAGCAAGGTGGCCAGCCAGATCGGACTGAGCCAGCCCCAGCTGTACCAGCTGCTGCCCAGCGAGCTCACCCTGTGGGTGGACCCCTATGAGGTGTCCTACCGCATCGGGGAGGATGGCTCCATCTGCATCCTGTACGAGGACGCCCCAGTGGCCGCCTCCTGTGGGCTCCTCACCTGCAAGAACCAAGTGATGCTGGGCAGGAGCAGCCCGTCAAAGAACTACATGATGGCCGTCTCCAGTTAGATCCCCCGCCACCCCTGTCTGGCATTCTACTGTACTCATTCTTCTGTGACAACAGGACACTGCATACCTCAAGCTGGGGAACTGTATTTTAAATGAAAAGCTATTTATATATATGTGTGTGTGTGTGTGTGTATATATATATATATATATATACACACACACATATATATATATATTTTTTTTTTTTTAAGAAAAGGGGAGGGAAAAACCAAAAGATTTTTTTAAGAAAAAAAATCCTTTAAGGGAGCTGCTTGAAAGTGGCCTCCCCAGGTGCCTTTGGAGAGAACTGTCTTGCCCTTGAGTCTGGGAGCCAGTGTCTGTCTATGGGAGGGGGGAGTGGTTGGGGGTAGGCCTGGCCAAGGTGAGGTGGGAGGAGCTTGGCTAGCAGCCTGGGAAGATGTGAGAGGGAGCAAGCAAGTTTAGCAACTGTGAATGAGAGAGGTCAGGATCTGCCCTGGGGGAGAAGAGAGACTGAGTTCCAACCTCTCAGTCTCCCCACCAGGACACCTGCATCCCTAGCCTCTCTCTTACTGCTGGGCATTCAAGCCTGGACTTAAATCATACTATGTTGCCTAATCTTCTCTTTTATGTTTTTGATGAGATCCTGGGAAGAGAGTGAAAAGGCCTCTCCTGATTTCTCCTGTCCTAAGCAGCTTTTCTTTTCTATCCTCAGGGGCCTGTAGATGTTGCTTCCCAGCCAGGAATCTAAATAAAGCTTTTTGTTTTGTGGGGGTCAGGGGAGTAAGACAGGGGTTGGTGGTTATTGGGTTTGGGACAGTGGGGACTCTGCACAAAACCTTTGTTTCGTTATCTGCTGCTCAATGTGTGTGTGTGGCGGATAACTTGAGAGTGATTTGCAGTGGAATTTTGGGACCCAAACAGCATCCCTGGGGATGTTTTTTTGGCCAAAATCCTTCTCTTTGGAACCACATGAAAGTCTTGTTGCTGCTGTCATTATCCCTTTGAGAAGTGGCTCAAAAGCTGCAGGGAACTCCAGGTCCTTTATTACTGTCTTCTTTTTAAAAGCACAACACTCCTCTCACTCTCCCTGCTCCTCTTCTCCTCTGGCTAGGTCACCGAGCTGCCCTATTTTCTAGGACAAGAGTTGTCAGTCACTGTGCAATATGGCCTCCTGGGTCTCAGAAGGATCTGAAAGAGAACCTCTAGGAACCTCTAGGAACCTCGTGGTGCCCTGGTGGGCTTAGGGAACTCTTCCTCTGTCTTTGGCACTATGGCTGGCTGCTCAGCCTTGCAGGGATTCCTTGGGTAAGTGGGAGAATGCCCCAAGGTCTGCAGGACCGCTTGGTATTCTTGGAGGGCTGACACTAAAAGCCAAATCTTGGGCATTGTTTTTTCTCCCTTGTGCTCAGAGCACCTGTGGGAGAGGTTGCTGTCTCACTCAGTACAATCCAAATTTGTCTGTAGACTTGTGCAATATTTACTGGAGAAAATGGAAAACTACGCTGGAAAGAAATCCCCTTCCTTAGGTTTCTCAGTGACATTAGTGAGAGGTACTCAGAAGGCTTTGAGTCTCCCAGACCCGAATCACCTTAAGAAGGATGCAGCTAGAGCATCTGGTCAACCTGGCCACCCTCCTGCTATTGCCCTTAGTGAGGAACCTCCCTCATGAACCCCCGCCCAGGACCCTCCCCACTGCCAGTGCCTTTCCTGAATTTCTGAACTACTCAATTCTGACTAAAGGTGCTATTTAACCAAACACTCTCTCTAATCATTCCTGCCAGTTCTGCCTCCTTTTCAACTCTCCAGATTCCGAGTTGCCTTCCCAGACCCTGCTTCCAGTCTTGATTGCTTTCAAGTTAATTTTGGGCCCACAGACTCAAGAGCTCATTTTCTGGCCTGTGGGTTGAAACAAAGCTGTGAATCACTGCAGATTGTGCTGTTGCATCTTGTCTGCAAACAGATGCCTGCCTTTTTAGAAGCAGCTTCATGGTCTCATGCTTAATATTTTCTCTCTTCTCTTCTTTTTGATGTTCACTTTAAAAATAGCAAAATGCCCAGAGCTGGACTGTTGAGCAGGCCTGTCTCTCCTATTAAGTAAAAATTAATAGTACTACGTTTGTAAGCTATTCTGACCTAAAAGACAAAGGTTACTAATTGTATAATAGTATTTTTATATGCAAGAATGTACAGCTTTATGGACAAATGTAGACCTTTTTTTTGTTACTTTAATAAAAATGTAGCAGATGAAGTCTTGCAGAGAGAAGATTTCCACATTGCTAATTTGCATGTCCTTCAGATCCACAACCTTTCTTTGTTTCCTGTAGCATTTCTTTTCAGTTGCACTCAGAAGATCTGTAGCATGTGGCTGGTGTAAAAGAAATATCTAGTTGTGTGGTGGGGCCATTTCCAACCTTCCCTCTTCCCTGGGAAGTAGCTCTCCTTCCTTTCTTCCTTCCTTCCTTTAATGTATATTCTAATAGCTCCCTGTGAAAATACGAGGTGGGACAGTGTTCTTCCAGCCAGCGTTCACTTTATGTATCCTCTTCTTGCTAGGCCTCAGTTGCGCTCACTCATTCATTCATTAAGCAAGCACATATTGTTGGTAAGTGCTAGGCACTTAAAACACTTTCAATGATTAAGGTAGCCTGCCTCTTACAGACTGGGATGGTGAGCAGGGGCTAGTGAACTCCTTTCCAGCTGGGGGCAGGACTTTTTGAAATACCTGGTACAGGCTCTCTGATCATTTCTGGGCTGCCATTTGTTGCCTGCCATTCTTGTCTTATTAGACGAGAGCAGTTGGGTCTTAGGGTCTACACACTTCAGCCGGCACTGAAGGCCAGTGCCATTGAGTTAGCTAAGAGCAGCTACTTCGTGTGTGTGTGTGTGTGTGTGTGAGGAGGATCAGCCCTGAGCTAACATCCATGCCAATCTTCCCCTTTTTTTTTTTTTGCTGAGGAAGACCGGCCCTGAGCTAACATCTATTGCCAATCCTCCTCCTTTTTTTCCCTTTTTCTCCCCAAAGCCCCAGTAGATAGTTGTATGTCATAGTTGCACATCCTTCTAGTTGCTGTACGTGGGACGCCGCCTCAGCATGGCAGGAGAAGCGGTGCGTTGGTGTGCGCCTGGGATCCTAACCTGGGCCACCAGTAGCGGAGCATGCGCACTTAACTGCTAAGCCACGGGGCGGGCACCTAAGAGCAGCTACTTCTGACAGCAAACACTGAGCTGAAGGCTTGTTACCAATTTATAACTCCTGGCTATGTTGATAGGATCTATGCAAGGAAATAGGAATAGTCTTTATCATCCCTGACATTTCAGTTCTTTTTATGAGGTTTTGACACTGATTTCCCAGCTGCCACCGCACTTATCGCTCAGCAGTTCCCACTGAGGTCACAAGTACATTTTTGATCTGGGCTAGTTTTCTTTTCTCGGCCATAGTGAGCTGGATATAAATTTTAAATGTTGACTCATGAACAGTGGCACTGCCCTTCCACCGCATTTCCTATTTCCATGACTCTCATCAACAAACATGCAGTTGGGCCCAGGTGTGCGGGTTGGGAGGTAGGCCAGGAAGGCTGTGTATGGTACAATGGGAGAGTAGCTGAGCCAGGGGATGGGGGAAGCTAGCTCATCTGCATCATAAATAGAATTGGTTATGGGGACCCAGTTGGTGTCAAAGGAATGGTCCTATTTTCACTTGTAGCTTCTAATGCAAATGTCCGAGGCACTCATTTGTTAAGAACCCACTTTTTTGGCTGTTAGGACAGGGTTAGGATTGAATTTTCGCCCATTCTGGTATGCTCTTTTATTCTGTGCAAAGTCAGCATCTATCTTTTTTCCTAATAGGGCCCAAACATCAGTGATATTTCATTATTTAGCAGAAAGCCTCAACTTCAGGGAAGGCTGTCTGGAAGCTGGGGAAACCACAGAAAGGCAGATTTACCTTGGTACTGCTCTTGGCTCCCGGTGACTAGCAGCCCTTCAATTTACATGGGAGGGTTCTGTGATCAACTAGTGTGTTATTTACTTTAGATCTGACGAATTTCAGTAGGGGTAGTGAGTGCCCCTTATCCAGCTGGGCGTACAGGGACTGTGGACAGGAACTACTTAAGGAGTTGCACTTGGTGGCCTTCATGTGTTCAGGGACTGGGCATCGATAGGTCCATCTGCTCCCAGCTTCCCCACTTGGTAAACAGTGCCTGACCTGTGCTTGGTCAACTGTTTCTGGATGATAACGCGCCTCCCCAGAGTGTAGACAAGGCCCTGGGAGCTGCAGGTTAAGAGCCCATCCTGGCTCCTGATAAAAGAGGTTTGGGTGGGGGAGTCCTTGATGCCACACAAACAAGCCCAGGAAGAAGCAGCCACTGCTGTGAGTCTGACATCTCCCACAGCAGTCTTCGTTACAGAAACATAGTGAGGACTCCTGGCTCCCAGGCCCTGTACTGGCTCCTCCGGCCAGACAAAGCGTGGTGCAGTGGAAAGAGTTCTGGGCTGGAAGGGAGAACATATGGGGTGTGGTCCAGATTCTTCTTCCTCACTAGCTGTGTGAGTTTGGACAAGCCCCTCAGTGTTCCTGTCTCAGAAATTGGGGGTTAGATTAAATGACCTCTGTTCCTTTCTTCCGCTTTTGATTCTAAATCATCTCCATTATCCTGGCAATCACTGGAGGGCAAATTAGCACAATTATTATCATTATTTTCAATTAGGTGAACTGAAAGGTCACTGGGCTGGGAGGTGGGGTAAGCAGTCATCTTCTCTGGCTTGGGTCAGACTCTTGCCTGATGAGGTTGGAGTCTCCAAGCCTCCTGAGGCGGTGCTGCGAGGAGGTGAGCAGCTCAGGCCCCACGTCAGGCAGCCCAGGAGCCCAACCTCAGCCCTACTGCCTCCCTGCTGCCCGTGCAACCGGGGCCAGTTACTTCACCAACCAGGCCTCTACTGCCCCATCTGTAAAATGGAATTAAGAATAGAAGCCATCTCAAAATGTTGTTATGAGGATTAAATGAAATCCATAAACTACTTAGAATAGTGCTTTGCACATTTAAGTACTCGGTACATGAGAATTGTAGTTTTAAGTAGAAGTTAAGCTCATCTCTTCAAGGGCTGTGACTTGGTCCTGAGATAAATAAGGACACTCTGACATTCCAAAAACTGGAAGGAAA